AAATCTCCTAATTTCACCATCATATTTGAGGGACAGTTTTGCCGGGTATATAATTCTTGGTTGAAAATTTTTTTCTTTCAGGGTTTTATATATACCATCCCATTGCCTTCATGCTTGCATGATTTCTGCTGAGGAATCAGAGCTTATTCTTACTGGCTGTCCTTTATAGGTAACTTTTTGTTTTTCTCGTGCTGTTTTCAGGATTCTGTCTTTGTCCTTGGTTTTGGTGAGTTTTTTTGATGATATGTCTAGGTGATTTTCTTTTGGGGTCTATCCTGTTTGGGGTTCATTGGACTTCCTGAATGGATATATCCTGATCTCTCATCATATCAGGGAAGTTCTTCTCCAGCAAATCTTGGGCAATTTTCTGAGTGGTTTTATTTTTCTCTTCCTGTCCTGGAATTCCAATGACATGTAAGTTATTCCTTTAGATGGTGTCCCACATGATCCTTAGGCTTTCTTCATTTTGTGTTGATTTTTTTCTGACTGATCCCTTTCCAAAGAGGTATTCAGGTATTGTCTTCAATCTCATTAATTCTGTCTTCCATTGCATCAATTTTTCTCCTTTGCCCTTCCAATGTGTTACCTATTTCTGACAATTTAGTGTTAATCTTCTGGATTTCTGTCTGTAGATTTAGAATCATTTCTGATTTTTCATTTATTTTGTCATTTTGTTTTTGTATTTTTGGTATTTTCATGCAACTTCATCTGCTAGTTGGTTTAGTCCACTTCTATATCCTTCCTTCAAGGCTCAGGGGCCCAGGATTATCTTCTGTATCTGTGTTAATTGGTTTCCCTTTTCTTTGTTGAAAAGGGTCTGTGCAGTCTTTCTGCCTAGTCTGCCGTCTTACCAGAACCTCAAAAACTCAATAAATTATTGAATAATGTTTATCTTACAAGTTAGAATATGCTCACACAATTACATTTAGTCCTAGGGAAAGGGCTCTGTTTTTCATTTCTTTTTTTAATACATGTAATAGTTCCTAACATGGTAGTTCTGTAACTAATTATTGAAAAAGTTACTCTAAGTTGTTAATCTAGTAATAATGTCAGAAATAATTGTATCATTAACCACTGGTGCCTCAGGAGTCTGTGTTTGGCTATCATAATTCTGAATGTTCTCCCTTGGCAGTCTCAATCCCTCTTATGCCATTGGGCTCCTGCAGCCTCACTGCCATCCATCATTTGTCTCCTGAACTTCTGACCTGTATTTCTAGCTCCCTGCTGGTGATTGTCACCTGCATATGCCATGTAATTTAATATCAACATACCTTATCATTATACCTGCCTACATACATACTAAGGAGCTGTGGTGGAACAATGGTTAGGTGCTTGGCTGCTGACATAAAAGTCAACAGTTTGAACACACCCACCACTCCATGGGAGAAAAGATCTGATGATCTCTCATAAAGATCTCATCCTAGGAAACCCTGTAAGGCAGTTTTACTGTCCTGTAGGGTCCCTATGAGTCAGAATTAAATGGGTGGCACACAACAACCTACACACCACCTCGGTCTAAGTTCCTTTTCATCACTGCAGTCCCACAGATAGGGCCTTTTCTGTGAAGTCTTCTTAGGCTCACTGTAGGGACATGTCCTAACAGTTTGATTTTGCTGACGTTTATTAGGTACACATCATGCTACACTGGAGGATGGTGTTACACTGAGAGCTTAGAAACATTACGGCTGTGAATTTACCTGGCACTGCAAGATTGTATGTTTCTCTAGCACCGTTCAGCAGCCTTAGTAAAAGAGAAGAAAAGCAGAGTATAAGATTGCTCTGGAGTTGGCACCTGGCTAAATAAATTCAGTGGGAAAATGAGTGGGATTCCAGATTTGGGATTTTGATAACGGATGGTTTGGTGGATGAACCCACAATTTTGGTAAGGCACATTGGAATAGATGTCACCCAGGCTGGAGGTCTTCAGAGATGTGAATTGTTAATACCCGTTGGCTGCTTCGATTTGCTCTTCAGGTCCCTACTGGATACTTGAGAAATATTAAGGATAACTTATAGGGAAAAAATGCTGAAGGCAAAAGAATCTAAGAAAGATTCAGTTACCTCCCCAGCGGGAGAGCTCGGGACTGTAATTGAAGAACTTTGTTTCTTCTCCGTGTGTGTATGCCTAGTATTCCCCATGCAATTATCATTAAAACAAGAAAGGTTTCTTACTACCCTTTGGTGATAACAAGGAAATGATAGCTAAGAAGATACAGCAAGTCTTAGAAAAAGAGAACCTCAAGGGATAGGGCACATGGTGGCAGTGCAAAAGGAGGAAATCAGACTGAATCCTTGGGGCTTTGGAGAACACATGGGGCTAGAGTGAAACAACCCTTAGAAAATTAACAGAATATTGACTGGGCAGTCTCCCCCTCCCCACTCCTATTCAGGATTTTTCTCAGATAAGCCCTCTAGTTTCTTTAGCAGTCTGTACAACCCTCTTGTTTTATATCATATCTTTAAACATGTGTGTCTCCATTTAGACAGTGATTTCCTTCAGGACAATAGCCATATATTAGTCTTCCTGATTCCTTAGCCCCAGCACAGTCTCTGGTACCTAAACCAAACCAAATTCACTGCCGTTGAGTCTGATCCGACTCATAGCGACCCCTCCTTGGGTTTCTGAGGCAGTATCTCCATTGAAGTAGATTGCCCAACCTTCCTTCCAAGGAGTGGCTGGTGGGTTTAAACTGCCAGCCTTCTGGTTAACAGTCAGATGCCTTAGGCACTATGCCACCAGAGCTCCTTGGTACCTAAAAGGTGCTTAATAAATAGAAGTATGAAAAGTATTGAACATTGTAACAAGCCCAAAAGGTGTATGTTGCAGACAGTAATGTTTTACAATGTTGTCAGTGGTCAGGGCATCGGTTCAGCCACCCTATAAGGTCTTCACAGCAATTGAAAACAAGCAGTCACTTCTCTCCCTGTGTAGTTTTTTCCTAAATAAATAAATAATTATCAAATTCATCATTTTAGGTGATTGATGAGATTTATCGTGTATTGAGATATGTCAATTCTACCAGAGCCCCTCAACGAGCTCATGAAGTACTTCAAGAGTTAAGGGACATTTCCTCCATGGCAATGGAATACTTTGATGAGAAGATTGTTCCAATTTTAAAGAGGAAATTACCAGGATCAGATGTGTCTGGAAGACTCATGGGCTCCCCTCCAGGTAAGTCTTGTTTACAGTATGTTCTCTTTGTAATGTTTGTACATAGTTGTATAACTTGCTTTTTCCACTTAACTGTATATCTTGAACACTGCTATGTCAGTAAATATATATGGGTGATGTAATTTTAATAACTGGCATATAGATCATAATTTAGGTAACTCATCCCCTATCATTAGACAAGTTTACTGTTTCTAGTTTTATCCGTATTTGAACTACATTCTGAACAACAATCTATGGCTAAATCTCTGCTATTCATAAGTACTGACTGCAGTAAATTGGGTATTAGTAGAACTGCAGGGTGAAAGGGTATATACAAGTATGTTTTTTGATAATTCTGATGAGTTAATAACTTTCAGTAAGTAGAATTGAATATATCTGCCAAAAGCAAAAAAAAAAAAAAATTCTTCACGAAACAATGAGTGAACTCTTTGAGCCTCCAAAGTGTCTGGCTGCTACTTTAAAAACACAGTGTGCATAAGGTTATTTTGAGCATTGTCACTTCTGTGGTAGCTGATTTATAGAAGTATATTGGATCCTAGAAATTTGTGCACTTGTTGAAAGACTAAATTTGTTCAGTATCCTTAATCCTTGAAACTACTTTAAGTTGGGAACAAAATTTCAATAAAACTTTTTGTTTTACTCAGATTAGTTAGCTCCCTGCAGGACTCAGTGGGTCAACTGAGTGGCTCTCTGTAATTAACAATAAAGCCTACTGCTTCTCAGCATTAATGTATCTATTATTTATTGAGTGCCTATTATGTGCACAACATTGTACTGTGTCCTATGGAGTCTAAAAAGAAGTCTGACCTCAAAGATCTTATTCTTTCAGAAGGTAAGACATATCTAAACTCAAAGTTAAATTATCATAGACAAAAGAACTATTTAAAGTCAATGTCCAATTTAATGCCAAACAAGTAGCAAGACAGATTCTTAAAGGGAAAAAAAAAAATCATTGTTGGCTGATCTGGTTGAGACTTCACAAGGGATGAAAATTGACTGACTCGAGCTTTGAAGTAAGAGACTAGTTTGGATAAGCAGAGAGGGAAAGAAGGATAAATACTAAGGCTATATATGTGTACAAGGAGGAAAGTAGCATGGTGGGTTTAGGATATGAATGAATCTATCTGGTCCTTTTAAGAAACTTTCAAGAAATAAGATTTTTTAAAATAGGTTATTTCTTTAAAATAGTGTTATGCCCTTTGTACTTACTTGTTACTTTCTAATTATTCTTAAAACACAATAGCTCCATAGCCTTCCTATACCATATCAGAAATTCTTCATGATCATCATATGTATATGTGTGTATGTAGATATGAATATGTGTGTGTGCATGTATAAAATTGGAATGTGGTTCCAGATCTAGAAGAAGATAGAGTAGTAGCCTCAGCAGTTATGCATCTCAGGGTACCATGAGCACTGTGGTATCCCTCAGGCATCTAGGCTTTCAGAACACAGCTTATATATTTCCCCCTTTTTGGGTGAGTCCCTATTTTGATTGGCTAAAGTTAAAGCCTTTGTATATAAATAAGTGCAGAAAAATCCAAGCCCACTGCCATCATTGATTCTAATTCTTAGCAGCCCTGTAGGACAGAGTGGAACTGACCCCTAGGGTTTCTAAGACTGCAAACCTGTACGAAGCAAACTGCATCATCTTTCTCCTGCTTGTTGTTGTTGTTGTTATGTGCCATCGAGTCGGCCCCGACTCATAGCGACCCCTCCTTGGGTTTCCGAGGCAGTATCACTACGGAAGTAGGATTGCCCAACCTTCCTTCCGAGGAGTGGCTGGTGGGTTTGAACCACCAGCCTCTGGTTAGCAGTCAAGTGCTTTAGCCACTATGCTACCAGAGCTCCCAGAGCTTTTAGTTAGCAGCCAGCCGAATGCTTTAACCACTGTCCTACTCCTGCTGTCCTGCTCCTGTGACTCAGTTCAGTGAACTTAAAAACGTGATCTTTCTCTCCAACTAAACTTGAAACTTTGTTTGCTTAAATAAAATAAGGTAGGCAGAGAAGATAGAACTTTTCTGATTTTAGTACTTGTATATTCTTACTTTATTAGTTCTAAAATGTTTTATAGTATTTTAAATTTAAGTTTATGCCATTAAATGCCCTCTCCATACACATGAGAATTAGAATTCAAACTTGTTTGTAACTAAAACAAGTTACTTCATTAATCCATTAGACCAAGTAGATTGTAAAGACAGAATTATCAGAAGTGATAAAATGAAGATATTCCATTTTTCAAAAGTTTAGCTAATCAAATATTACTGGTAGGGAAGCACTATGAATGATAAGTGAGTGTTTTAAACTTTCTCCACAGTCCCTGGACCTTCTGCAGCCCTAACAACAATGCAACTCTTCTCCAAGCAAAACCCTTCAAGACAAGAGGTTACCAAACTCCAGCAGCAGGTTAAAACAAATGGTGCTGGTGTGACTGTTCTCAGGCGTGAAATTTCAGAGCTCCGCACCAAAGTGCAAGAACAGCAGAAACAGCTTCAGGACCAGGACCAGAAACTGCTGGAGCAGACCCAGATCATAGGTGAACAAAATGCACGGTTGGCGGAGCTGGAACGCAAACTGCGAGAAGTAATGGAAAGTGCAGTAGGAAACTCCTCAGGTTCTGGGCAGAATGAAGAGTCTCCTCGGAAACGAAAAAAGGCAGTGGAAGCCATAGACTCTCTTAGGAAATCTAAACGTCTTCGGAATAGAAAGTAAATTGGAATATGGGTCTAGCTCCAGAAGAAGACATGGCTTAGTAGCTTCAGCGGTTATGCATATCAGGATACTGTGGGCAACGCGGTGTCCCTTAGGCTTCTAGGCTTTCAGAATACAACTTGAACTTTTTCTTGGTTAAGACATTCTTTCCCGCTTCTCCTGGGTGAACTGATGCACAGAATCTTTTTACTTTGCAATAGATTTGTACTAACCAGACCTGCTCTATCATGTTTTGAGGAGTTGACTTTTTCCTGTGCAGATAATGTTTAAAGTTTATTTCTGCATATATGCACATCACATGAGGATCTTAAACCCAGTCTTGACAGACTAGAAGTTAAGTTTAAACACAGAAAATGTCCTGTTCACTTGAAAGAAAAGACCTACTTTTTAAATGGACACTATCTTGTTTTTTTTTAAAAAAAAAAGTTAACTTTTTGTTAAGTGACCTTTGTCTGGAATGTCTGAAAAGTAGTTAATGCTTTTTGGTATTGAAGTAATGGGTAACTAAAATGGACTTCCATAGTATTGACTGTAGAAGGGGCCTCTACAGTATTGACTATATATTTTTATAAACTACTGGCAAGGGACTTATCCAGTTGTTATATACATGTTTTCAGTTCTCTATGGGGGCCATGTGCTACATTTGCATGGATGGATGCATGCATTGCCTAATCAACTCACTTAAAAAGCTCTTGCACTGGTATTGATCTTGAACCTCTATACTTCACTTTCTAGAGCAGCTTCTTAGTTTATTTAAGTGTTTAACATCTTCTACCACAACAGCTTGCCTCTAGAGGGTAATTGTTAGTCCATTTGTCCTCCACTTTTACAGGGGCAACAGAGTGTTGAAGCCCGTTGCTTCATCTGTTCTTTTGTAGGGCTCAGGTATACTGGCTAAGGCAGACCCCCAAATTCCAAGGCTGTTTCTATTGGACCTCTGGTAACTAGTACTGTTCATTACCACTATGTCATTTGCTGATCAAATGTGATTGAATAGGGGACACAACTGTGGGATGCAGTTTTGCCATTTAAGCAGAGTACATTGAAGAAAAATTATACTATGGAAAAAGATTTCATTTCAAGGGGGTGACCTTAGGGAAGCTTTTTAATATTAATTCCAAGCTTTCCTTATCCTACAATATTAAACAAAAGCTTTAATTTCTTTTGCACTCCTGTTTTGAGCTTGTAACCGGAAAAGCATGTCTTGCACTGTTCAGCCGTTTGATTGGTCACTTTAACAACCTCCAAATTATGTACAGTGGTTATTTTTCCCAGTTGTATATTTTTGAGACATTATTCAACTATCACTGTCCTGGTTTTTATTTTAATGTACTAAATTATATAGCTATTAGTTCACTGTTAAATTCTTTTAAGCAACTGTTGCCTTAAGCTTCAGTTATTTACAGTCAATGTAGATGTAAAATCAAAAAATAATCCCTTTCCAGGTGGAAACTTGCCTCCTGTATAAACCTAAGGTTTTGGTAAATACCTTCGTTGAATAAAAGCACAAGGTTACCTACCACCTTTTACATCCGTCCAACATGACATGGTTATGCATCCTTTAAATTAACCTTACCAAATGAAACTTTTTCTTATCCATTTTTAATGTTGTCCTTAGATTTTGGTCAATTCTTTGTCTAACTTTGAAACTCCATTTACAGTGTGGTGTGTTTTCAGTGAAAGACCATAGAGTCACATCCAAGTGTTTCATGGTTTGTTGAGAAGATAATTTAAAAATAAACAATTAAAAAAAAAAAATTGTCAGCCAAGGTCATCCATAAAAGTCCCTGTCTGGAAGTCATTTTCTCAGAAGGTCTTATTTTTCTAATCATAGGATTTAGCCATATTGTCATAACTTTGGAGGAGGCCTGCTGGAATACTCATGGCCTTTAATTTAACGTCTGCTTTTCTGGTGTTGGAACACTCTTAAAATAACAAAGTACATGTTTACAGATCCTTATGCATCAGAGGGATATAGCCTTAGCTTATTTCTTTAATAGTTGTCAATGAATTGCCAAGAGTTTCCTGAGTTTCTTTTTAAACACCATTCAGATACCCTAAATAGTCCTGTAGTCTTCTGTTAAAGATATTAATGAACACAAGTATATGGTTTTCATAATAAGCATTCACACTATTAGAAGGTAGGTTTACTATTTCAGAATCCAAAGTTCTGCAGCATACACTTGTAACCACCTGTCCATTAGGTCAGTGAGTTGCATTTGTTAATGCATGAACATTCCAGAACAGTAAGAAAATAAAATACTACATTTATTTGTTTTAGTCTTAACTCTTAGACACAAACATACTATGAACCTGCCTTCACCATTAATCATAATAGTTATTTATATTTGCTTTAGGACAGCATAGTTGACATTTAAGGTTCAACAAATCACAAATTATTTTGATTATCTAAAACTGACATGTTTTAACAAATAGATAAAAATGGCATGTTTCAGGAAAATTGTAAATTAGCCTCCTGAGAGACAGCTGTCCTTCCCTGCATTATAAGTCAATCATTTAAATACTGTATGTTGTTCATATTGTGTTGTCCTAGAGCAACATTTCATAAAGTATTCCCATCATCTTCCTGACTGTTTTTCAGAGATTTCTCTATTGTAATGGATCGTTCTCACTTACAAATTTACTATGGTACAACACTACAGAGATGCATCAAATGTGAAAAGGCATATATAAGAAATTAGGGAGATTGGTCTCACCCCCTTGTCCCAACCAGATCCTCTGCATATATCCACATGGACTTGTTTTACTTGATTTTCACATATTGTGAGTTATAGAACCTGTCATTCTCAAACTCCTCTTGATGTATAGAGCCTGTAAATAACGGGGCACATACAAATGTATTCAGAGTGATCGTACTGTTTAAAGACTATTGGGGTGCCATTGGGTCTAAAGCCACTGGTTGTAGAAGCAACTTTTTTTCTTTTTGTAAAACGTTTTTTGGAGTACTGAACTTTTACAGGGGCTTGCCTTAATCTCTAGTAGTTTCAAAATGAATGCGCTATTATTCTACATGTTGAAATGTTAAAATATTCTATGTAGCCCCGAAAGTGGGTAAAACAGAGTATAAGTAATGCCTACATAAATAAGCTATAAGGTGTCACTACAGCTGGATTTTTGTGAGAAAATGGGCATATGGAAATAGGCTATGTGTAATAAACAGAAATAATGGCACCTTAAGATTGCACTATTTTATGCATTATTTTATATGCCATTTCATAGCCTGCACTTTAATCTCCAAAGAAACAATGTATGATGTCCCAGTTGTTCCATGTTAATAAATCTTTTCCTAAGACAGGGCACTTAATTCTATTTTACTATACTGAATTGGTTTCTTGGAGATGGATTCCTTTTTTGAGTTCTCTGTTTCCTTAGCCATAATATTTTCTAGGATCTGGGAACTCCCTATCTTGTCTATTTCCAACAGTATATAATCTTAATTTAATGTAATGTAACTCTCATACTTGGTGATCAGCACATTCTGATACCCTGCTCTGTCAGTGAGTACCCATTTGTTATACTTACAAAACCCTCTAAAAATATCATACATGTAAATAAGAATTGAAGCCAGGAATAAAAGACATTCAGAAAGGAAATATCCTATATGATTCAGTCTCTTGGAAACGGCTGATTCTGATATGAAATTCAGTTGAATATGCTTTCCGGTTCTTTGACTTCAGGTTTAATCTGAATCCCTTTAATTAGTACACAGAAAGGTTAATACGTTAAAAATACTTAAAAATAACATAGCCTGTCATTGGAGGCAGATTATTTTCATAAAAATGCTGAAGCAACTCTACAAAATGAGACAGGCAAATAATTCACTGCTGTTTAGTATGATTTCACTTTTAATAGCAATAACAATTATATTGATGATAAAGATGATAGGTTTAAGTAATGTTGGCCTCTTTTCCAGTTTCCTAAGAATCTTTGTTAAATTTCTGAAGTTCAGAAATTAAATACAAACTTTCTCAGTTGTGTCTGAAGAGAACCATGAGATTTAGAACCATATTGGTAATTTATTAGGTCCATTTCCAAAGTAACTGGTCCATATTCAAAGCTATACTAGAAGGTCAGAAGTGCTTAAAATTCCTTTATATGGTATCATGTCTGTTACCTATGCTCGTGAGCAACAATAAATTTCTAGTTTACCTTCTGGAATTTCAATTGTTTATAATCTAATTCAATTATTGGAAAGTAAAAAACACCTCCCGGTCACACAACAGGGTACATAAATAAATGTGTTGTTACCAGTGCTACTTGTTTTCTTTGTATTTCATGCACAAAAGAATATGGAGCTCTCTTGCTAACATTCATCTTATTAATAGCCACCATCTCTTGAAGCACTATACTCTGTAGAGGTTACATGCGTTCTTTTAATTCTCACAACCGCCTTAGAAAGCAGGTCTTACTCTACATGGGGAAGTTGAACTCAGGTTAGGCACCATGTCCACAATGTTCTACAAGTAAGCAACTAAGTGGGATTTGAACCCAAACCTACCTGCCTCTGAAGCTTCTGTACATCCTGATAACACTGCCAAATTCTAAAATAGCTGGGCGCTATGACTTGGACTCTAAATTGCATTAATTCTAAGATTAATAACATGTAGGTGCTCATTCCATGTGTCTACTAGAAGCCATCAGTGCCCAAATCACTAATGCTAAGAAGCATATAGTAACTGACGATTAGGAAGAAGCTGGCTTGGAGGAAGCAACTTTCATCCTAAAGGTTTTTGTCAGCATGTTCATTCTAGGCATCATGTAAAAGATAAGGCTTCTAGAACCTGTAACCTTCACCCTTTCAAGACCAAACTATTTTCTGTTTTGAACTTTTTTTTATTGAAACCATGTGTTTTCAATAATGGCATTTTGAATGAAATGAACAGAAAACATGTATTTAACAAACACATTCAGAATTTCTTCATGAGAAGTTCAGTGCCTACATCACATTGTGTCACCACCTTCATTATCTCTATGCATATTACATCAACATTAATTCAGGCTCTCTGCCCCTTGAAGCTTTCATCTGTGCTTTAGGTTAACTTGTCCATTTAAACTCATACAGATAACTCTTTTATGTAAGAGTACAATGCTCGAGGCATACATTCTTTATTAATTGGGAGCTCTGGTAGCATAGTGGCTAAGGCACTTGACTGCTCACCAGAAGGCTGGCGGTTCAAATCCACCAGCCACTCCTCGGAAGGAAGGTTGGGCAATCCTATTTCCGTAGTGATACTGCCTCGGAAACCCAAGGAGGGGTCGCTATGAGTCGGGGCCGACTCAACGGCAAATAACAACAATAACATAGTTTAACAATGGCTTGATGGGATAGTTTTGGTTCAAGATTTAAGAATTATTTCTAGGCATTAGATTTGAGGGTTCTCCCAGTCTCAGTGGAGCTCTGGTGGTACTGTGGTTAAAGCATTGGGCTGCTAATGTCAGCAATTCTAACCCACCATCTTCATGGGGGAGAGATGAGGCAGTCTGCTTCCATAAAGACTTAGGGCCTTGGAAATCCTATGGGGCGGTTTTACTCTGTCCTATAGGGTCACTAGGAACTCTGGTAGTGTAGTGCCTAAGGCACTTGACTGCTAACCAGAAGGCTGGTGGTTCAAACTAACCAGCCACTCCTCGGAAGGAAGGTTGGGCAATCTATTTCCATAGTGATACTGCCTTGGAAACCCAAGGAGGAGTCACTATGAGTCGGGTATGACTGGATGGCATATAACAACAACAACAACATAGGGTCATTATAAGCCAGAATTAATTACAGTGGGTGGTTGGGCTGGTCTCAATGGATCCTGTAAGTCTGGTTTCCATATTAATTTGAAATTCTGCTCCATGTCTTTCCTCCTCCTTTTGATTGGGATCCATCTGTTGGGTCCTTAATCTGATACCTTCTTTACCAAGCTTGTCCCCAACTTAGATGTTCAGAAGAGAGATCATAATGACATTAAGCTGAAGGTGAGGGTGACAACAGTGGGATCAATTGTCCAAGGACCATCAGTACATTCTAATCAACCAGATAATCATAGAAAGCCTAGGAAAATGAAGCCTGCTGCTCTACTTGCCAGTCTCCAGCAGGGTGAAAATCTCTATTTCTATATTCTCCAGATGCATCAGTTCCAAAAAGAACAAACCAAACACACTGCTGTCAAGTCAGGCCCAACTCATAGTGACCCTTCTTGGATTTCCGAGGCAGTATCACTATGGAAGTAGATTGTCCAACCTTTCTTCTGAGGAGTGGCTGGTGGGTTTGAACCAGCAACCTTCTGGTTAGCAGTCAAATGCCTTAGGCACTACGGTACCAGAGCTCCTGGTGACCTAATCAACTTTGATCTCTATACACTTGCCTGTGCTAGTCATTTCATATAAGTGGGATCATACAATATTTGTCCTTTTGCGACTGACTGACTCCATGTTTTCGAGTTTCATCCATGTTATAGCATGTATTGGAGCTTCATTTCTCTTTATGGACCATATTTTGTTTCTTCATCTGCTGACGGACATTTAGGCTCTGCACCTTTTATCCATTGTGAATAGTGCAGCAATGAACATTGATCTGCAAGTATCTGTTTGCATTTCAGCTTTCAATTCTTTGGGGTATATATATCTAGAAGTGAAAGTACTGAGTCATATGATCCAAAAAAAAAAACCAAACACACTGCTGTCTAGTCATTTGCAACTAACTCATAGCGACCCCTCCTTGGTTTCCGAGGTGGTATCTC